GGGGGGGGGGGGGTGAATTGTTTATGGGATTGGTCTCTGCATGGCATTACGGCCCCCTCCCCAGACCGTGGATTACAGCCTGCAGGGCTCCGGTGGCTTTGCGGCCTGATTAGAAAAGCAGCAGGCCCCTGGCTCTCCGCGGGTCCCAAAACAGGAGCAGGGGCCATTAGCGACGGGCCCATTAGCTGCGGCGGGGGCTCTGATGTGGCCGGGGAGGACTTCTGTCAACGTCAGGGTCAGGACAGGGTTGGCCAGGCGCACTGCGGGGTCTGGGACAGGGCCATGCGATGATGAGATGAGATCATGTGTCTTTATTGTGAAGGCGCTGGTCAGGACGGAGCTTTTTAGGGCATTTGTATGCTTACACTGCTATTTTTCATATGGCAGCATTATACAAACATTACCCTGCTTATACCACACACTCCATGCATTAAAACATGTAGACCACAATGTTTATATTATTGGCATCTGGATTTTCTTTTTAAAGCTAAATCTGTTCTTTTTTCTCTTCTGCCTACAACAGATCCTGGTGGCCCTGAGACATCTGCACTTCAAAAATATTGTTCACTGTGACTTGAAGCCTGAGAACGTACTACTGGCCTCCGCAGAGCCCTTTCCTCAGGTACAAAAAAAGTGTTTTGTACATATGTGTGTAGGGCATCCACCATTAGTCAACTTATTGGTCGGAGATTGCCTATAATATAATTACTTTTGATAAGATAAACCTTTATTGATCCTCAAAGGGAGATTCAGGTGTCTTATCAGCTACAGCAATAAGGGGAAACACAGGATAGGAAAGATAAGAATTCACAGAAGAATAACACTAATAATAAAAGTAAAAGTAAAGAAATGTAAGAATAAAAGTGTTAGAAAGATATGTACACAAGTCATTTAGGATAATTGATTATAGTCCCATACATTTGTCTTGCAAAATAGTCTGAGCTCTTAAATATTGAAATGTCTTGCTTTTTGCTATTAAATATCATATTAAAGTGATAAAACAATACATTTAAAGACAGCTCCTTGGACTTGGAGAATTTGAAAGCCCTTTTTTGACTGTTGTTTGACATTTTATGGACCATACGCTTAATCTCTAGAAAATCCACAGCATATTAATGGCTAATGAAAAATAATGAGTATTTGCAGCATTATGTGTTTGGTATGTCTGTATACACATGTGTCTATATGTTGACCATGTTGTTTCTCCCAGGTAAAGCTGTGTGACTTTGGCTTTGCCCGTATCATCGGTGAGAAGTCGTTCCGGCGCTCTGTGGTGGGCACTCCGGCCTACCTGGCTCCTGAGGTGCTGCGCAGCAAAGGCTACAACCGCTCCTTAGACATGTGGTCGGTGGGAGTCATCGTGTACGTCAGCTTGAGCGGGACGTTCCCTTTCAACGAGGACGAGGATATTAACGACCAGATCCAGAATGCTGCCTTCATGTACCCCCCAACGCCATGGAAGGACATCTCTGCAGAGGGTAAGACAGGACATGTGTCAGTTTGTTTGGTGTAGCTCTAAGTCATTTGGCTGTAGTTCAATTGGTGTCAAAGTGTTACTCAGACAGTTAGCCTCAGAGCTCCCCTCCTACATGTCTGGGTCCTCTGAACTTTGCTCTCACTTTTTTTCTGTCTGCGGTTGCAATGAGTCACTCTGAAAGCTCCCCAACTGTAGCTCCTCCCACATACAGTGTGAGATATATAGGAAAAGGTCAAACAAAAGTGTTGATGCTAATGTTTCGTAAGCTAACTTCAGTAAAATGTTGTTATCTTTTGCTGTAGACGGATGAAATGTGTCCTTTCCCTCACATCCTTAAATACGCTGTTGGTATGAGATGATATGTCTTCTAATTTCAGTTTGTTGATACATTCTCTATTCCCCTCACAGCCACAGATCTGATCAACAATCTCCTCCAAGTCAAGATGAGGAAGAGGTACAGCGTGGACAAGTGTCTCAGCCATCCCTGGTTACAGGTGACTTTTTACCTTACTCTCTTTGATGCTTTAACCCATATCACACTTCTCAGTTGAATCAGAACACACAAGACACTCATGCTGTTGCAGCGTGACTTACACTTTCAGAAGGATATTTTCTGATAATCGTCACGTTTGAATGTTTTCTTGTGTATCAACAGTCCACATATAGCTGTCTCTACGTCTGTAGTTATAGTGTTATTGACTTCATTGCAACATTAGACTTCCTGCTTCACACCCCCTCAGAATCATGTGAGGTTCAAAAACCTATAGCATGATTAGCCCCAAATATATAATCAGATAAATAATAATAATAGTAATAGGAGTTTTAATCCTTTGATGATTGATACAAAAAGAAAAACCAAAAAAATAATAAAAGGTATTATTATTATTATGATAATAATAAACTTAGCTTAAAATAAAGCTTAAAAAGGAAACAAAAAATACTATAAAAATTCGAAAATAAAATTCACATTTGGCCCTGATCCTCTTCCGTACACTATAAATAAAAACATACACAGAAATAAAATCTTATAAAACGAATGTCCATCCCTGAAACACAGACACACTGTTCATAAACAGACGTCTTTACAAACCTCTGGAGGAAAATACTCAGGAACACTTAGATTAAGAGCTGCTGCCTCTCTCCTCAGGACTATCAGACCTGGCTGGACCTCAGGGAGTTTGAGACGCGGCGGGGCGAGCGCTACATCACCCACGAGAGCGACGACACGCGCTGGGAGGAGTTCGGCGACGAGCACTGTCTCCTGTACCCCAAACACTTCATCATGGCTCCCAACTTGGACGACATGGAGGAGGACCCCTAGTGGCTCACAGGACACCACATGTGTTTAAAAAGGACAAGGTTTGTCACAGGGACCTTTTCAAGAAGCAATGGGAGCGACAGATTTTTACCTCCAGGACTGTTTTGTCGTGAAAACAGAGAGGAAGCCGATCAGGTGGAGAATCGCTCTCCGGAGGCTTTAAGAGCGGGAAAAAAACCGACAGAATTTGTAGCACGATGCGCCGCTACGAGCAGTATGCAGGTGGAGATGCAACAGAAACGCATTGAGAAACTGTGTGGAGATAACAGTGTTTGCACAAAATCTAAAAACATTCCATGGATTTCCTAGTTTCTTTTTTAAGAACAATCGCAAAACAAGGTGAACGTAATAGTTTAGTTAATGTACAAAACATTTTGGAGTAATAATACGACTGTTCTTTATGTGAGAGAAGAGGTCTGACAGCGCTTACCCCAGGAGTAAAGTGCACTTTCCACAAGGGATTTACAGTCCGAGAATTTAAATCATTTTTTATTCTCATTTCCCAACCGTTTGTGAGACTGGCCTTTTGCTTGAAACTGGAACAATCACATGTTTGTATGTTTTTTTAATGTATTTCATAATTGTGGTCGATTTTTGCACTATATTACCAATTGAACCGCAATATTTGCTGCGGTGTTTTGCGAAGCCAATCGAGGTGCAAAGTTTAAACCAGCAGGAAGTTGATGCAACTCGCTCCAATTGGCTGCTCCTCCATCCTTTATTTTAGAGCTGCAACTAATCATTAAGTTGAATCTTCAAATTATTTTCCACAGAAATCCATTACAAATATGGTCGAGAAAATGTCCGACAGTCAATCCTAATTTCCTAAAAAGTCAGAGGTAATGTTTGTTCTTTCAGTCAAAACCAAGAATATTGTTTAATATGATATTAAACAGAGTAAAGCGGTAAATCTCCATTTATGAGAAGCTAAAAACTGTATTTTCTGCAGATTTTGCACGACAAAATAACTACATTGAGTTTAAGAATCCGTCGATTGACTTATCGTTGCAGCTTTTATTTATTTTTACAGCGATCTAGCAGCTAATGGCGGCCGTGTTTGATCAACTTTCCCCTGGAGACCCTGACCAAACATGTTCAATCATTTCAATGTTTCCAAACCTTTTTCTACACAAAATCCTCAAGTCACTGAATTGTCAGTAAAATGCAATAATGGAGCCATTTGTTCCTATTCATCATAAGGCTGAAGCAGCATGGACTCTATGTTAGAGCATCATGTCTCTGTGTATATCTGTACTGTCGCAGTATTGTTAAATGTGACTCTGGAATATGTGTTTGTGATGCTCTTTAGGTATCTGAAGTGTTGCGTCGCCAGCTGAGCTTTCACACAGAACAAAATGTCGGTGTTCATTATGTTGTCTGGACCAATCAACAAGCCCCTTGGTCTGGACTGAGGACACTCTTACACTTTGGTTCACATGGGAGTTTATTGAACTACAGTTTTGTAGTTTGTTCTGTTGGTGTGTTTTGGGAGTATGTTCCTGTTTTCCTGTTGTCCTCTTCCTGTCTTTGTTGCCGCTGGATTGGCAGGTGTCAGTGTTTTGTATATTTCAGTAAATACCAATGGAATAAAAAACCCAACTTCCCAACTGAAGAAAGTTTTTTTCCACTATTTACTGAAATATACAAAACACTGACACCTGCCAATCCAGCGGCAACANGAGCCTGACACAGACGGCTGCACCACAGAGAGAGGGGAGGAGAAACCTATAACCCTGGTGCAATCGTGTTTGTTTGTTTGTTTGTTTGTTTGTTTGTTTGTTTGTTTGCTTGTTTGGTCCGGAGCCCATGGATACCCAGCATGGAGTGTAGAGAGGAGGAATGGAAAAGGACGTAGAAGAGCAGGTAAAAAAATAGGTGTTTGGGGAAGGGGGGGGGTGAGGATGCGAGACACACAGACCTCCTCTTGAGGTGACGAGAGACCTGCCGAGAAGCTACCGGGCAACGCTGATCGACAAATATACACAGACCCAGGATCAGGGCAACAAGGACAGATCACTGCCTCTGATCCTTCAGCACATGTTATTTCTGACACGCATCTGACACACAGTCTCAATACATGTAAATGATATGAGGACCATGGCTCACTATAAAGGTAATTTCTTTGGCTGTATCCACTTAAAACACCTGTGTGTGAAGCTATTTGTAGCTCATTTTGAAATAGCTACCAATGCTGATGCTTTTTATGTTAAATCAATGATGTCCTAACCAAATGATCACTCACTGTTCCAGAGGTTTCCCACAAACACTGGGACTCTTCCGTTACCATTTCACTACATTCACCTTCAGAGAGTGACACCTTCTGGCAGCACAGAGACATTAGTTTCAGGACAGTGTTAGTGCTCCTGCACATTCCCCAAGGGACATTTAATAAATATATATACATGTATGCAACAAACAAACATTGGAGGCTATATCATACATTTTATAATAATACAGACTATGTACTAACAACATTTCACCTGGTGCTGAGCCTGAAGGTTTTACTTTGTCATTAATATCCTTATGCAGGGATGGAAGAAGTACTCAGATCTTGTACTTAAGTAAAAGTAGAAATACCACAATGTAGACATACTCTGTACAAGTAAAAGTCCTGTATTCAAAATGTTACTCGAGTAAAAGTATAAAAGTATTGGCATCAATATATACGAAGTACCAAGAGCAGAAGTACTCATAAAAGTACTGTAAAGTAACTAAAGGTACATAATAAAAGCATGTGGAGTAAAAGTATATGATCAACCTCTGAATTGTAGTGGAGTAGAAGTACAAAGTATCTCAAAATTGTACTTAGTTATTTCACACCACTGTCTTTGTGCAATATCAAAACCATAACATCATCTTTTATGTGCAATCATTTGTTGATTATCTTAATGTGTCTTATTTTATGAACAATATTTCAAAAGATCCCCTTCAGGTTTTTCAACATATACAAAAAACTGTTGTTGGAAAAGGAATGTGAACTTTTAGAGTTGTACTGAAATACATTATATTAGGAGGTCTTAAAAGTGGGTTGTCCTTCCTGGTTACATACAGTAAGGTGGTTAGAAAGAAAAAAAGAAGCAATTCTCAATATAATCCCTGTACATTTTGATGTATGATGTCCTTTTGTTGTTCTGTTTTTTATGGTGGAACCTACTGCTGCAGGTCTCCCTTGAAAAACAGATCATTGATCTCAATGGGATTTTACCTGGATAAATAAAGGTTTTGAATTGAATTTGAATTGAATAATATAAAAAACAGCACCTACACTTCAAGGAAAAGGTAAAAAAGAAAATGAAGTTAAAAGTCAACGTTATAGCAGGACAGTATTAATGGATGGGCCGTACCCAGCTCTTTAAAGAACTCAATCAGTCCGTTAGATCATTTCTCTGAAGTTGATCCCTTTCTTTTTCATCTGTCTGCGAATATCTGAACACTTAGAAAACAAAGTGTTAAGCTCTTGCACAATGCATTGATCACACTGAACTGTTTTGTGATGTCAAACAAATGCAGTAGGTGCAGAAGGGAGATTTTACTTTTGAATAATAAAATAGTGTAAAACCTAGATGGATATTTTTAAGCAGAGGGAATTAAGGAAAATCAAAATGAATAAGACATATTTTAAATCCATTATAACGTTTGTCAAAACAACCTACTGTTTTTACAATGAAATTCCTAAATTCCCAGGTCAGACATAGGAAACGAAATGTCCGACCCCTTAGCGCTTCACTGTTCTCAAACGTGGCCCTTCTAAAAAAGTAATTTAATCTAGACGTGCAATTAATTGTACATTTGTATCTAATGAAGTGGACAGTTTGATTATCGCCCTTTTTAAATCAAGGCTTTATGATACCATGTATTACTGAAACGATTCCACCTCAGTGCAGCCAGAGGAGGGAGACATTGCCCTTTATTTCGCTGTGATCTCTCTACAGCATCCCTATATCTGCACCTCTTTCCACCATGAATCCTTTCATTACTCTAACTCAAGCTGCAGTCAAATATGTGGTATGTTAAGTTAACGGGGCGCTGGTTCAGGTTTTCTTTAATAACTTAATGTGTGAGGACCAACTCAGTGACTTCAAACAGAGCTGTTGCAGTTTATAAATGTGCCCCCCCCCCAGGTTAATGGGGTCATCTGGTCTGCAAAGACCGTCCACATCTTGAACGCATTCAGACTAACAGATGCAGGAGGGCAGTACTGAGAGCCGCTTTAAAGGACAATCAGTTTAAACCTCTCATCAGTGGCTTTTTGATGATAGCATTGCAATAATGCTTAGCCATGGCTAACAGTGGACAGATATCTACAGTGGAGAATGGTGGAGGAATGAAGCAGGGTAGAGGGTACTCAGATCCTTAAGTTAAAGTAGTAGTACCACATCTAAAAATACTCAATTATTTGTGATTATATTACTATTACAAGTAAAAGCCTTAAGTTTAAAATGTTTTGTAAGTGAAAGTACAATAGTTATATCAGGACAATGTACTCAAGCATCAAAAGTAAGTGTTACATATTATTATATTGTTATTCTGTTTTTATCACAAACAAATAAATACAAGAGTTTGAAATATTATTTGTCAATCTGGATTCAATTGTGTACTTTGTGTACAATTAAGTAAACTAGTATTACATATATATTATACAAACACATTATTGATATTTACTGTATGTTTAAAAGAAAGTAGTTACTACAAGTGTCAAATGAATATGGTGCAATAAAAAGATATCCCTGTGGCAGAAAATGGAAACGCTCAAGTGAAGCACACATAGCTCATAGTTATTCTGAAGTGAATGTACTCAGTTACTTTCCAACACTGGACTCAAGCACAATTCATTTGGTGAATGTATGAAAGTCGTCCTTTCTCTAACCTGAAACAATAGTCACATTCTGAAGAACAGTGCAGGAATAAGACATGTTATTCCTGATACTGAAGGGGTTTCATGATAAGGATTTCAAAGTGTTCCACGAACCCCCCCCCCCCTCTACCACCACCCTCTTTTACTGTGTCATTACTCTCTTGTGGTGAGCGACTAGCTCTGCTAACTGCTCGGTGTGGTGCAACAATCACATCCAGCTGCTGGGAATGGGATTTGACATGTTAGACCACAACACACACACACACACACACACACACACACACACACACACACACACACACACACACACACACACACACACACACAGTGATGCAATATACACTAAACTACAAGTTGTGACTACTTGTGCCGCAGAG